CACTCACGGCCACCCCAGCATCGACCTGCTGGGCTCCAATGATCCTTCTGCCTCAGCCTTTCAAGTAGCCGTAACTACAGGTGTGCACTACCACGCCCAGTTAATTTTTTGATTTGTTGTAGAGATGAGGTCTCACCATGTTGCACAGGCTGATCTTGAAACCACAGGCTCAGTCAGTTCTCTCGCCTCGTCCTCCCAAAGTGCTGGGATTACAGACTTGAGCCACTGTGCCTGGCCCAGCCTCACATTTTGAATGATTTAAATGTATAACTCAATACAACTATAAGATGCTACAGGTCATGGACCTTGGTATGGTTTGCATATAGTTAAAATGTCAAGAAGCTATTAATACTAATTTTCAAAAAGAACTGTAGCTGTTCCATGTACTAGATTTAAAATTGGTCTGTATAATTTCCCATTGATAGGGAAATTTTGGAAAGCCAAATAAATATCAGAAAATAATTAAATTAGCTATCTCTAAGGGCTTTTTAAATCTCATGTGTGTTTGGTTTGGCCTTCCAGGTAAGTATCATTAAGCTATAATGGTTTGAGGAAACACTTTTTTCATTCTTGTAATTTATAGGATTATACATGCTAAACTACTGCAATATTTATAGCAGTTTGGACTTGTGAAGGTTAAGAAAATTTCAAAAGTGAAGTTTGTCTTATTTTTACCTTTGTACAGCAAAGCGCAAGCTCCACAAGGATGAAAAGATCCTTTGAGGAAAAAAATGTTCTAATTTTCTTGTGGTTTTATATCTCCCTCATAAAGTCAAAATTTTTGAATGTCAAGAGACCTTTGAGATTGTCTAATCCTGTCTTCTGTTGTAGATAATGCCACTGAGGTCTAAAGATGCAAATTCATACAAGTAAATGGCAATTTTATTTTATTTTATTTTATTTATTTAATTTATTTTTTGAGTTGGAATCTCACTGTCGCCCAGACTGGAGTGCAGTGGCCGCTCCCGGCCACCACATCCTCAACCTGCTGGGCTCCGGTGATCCTTCCACCTCAGCCTTCCAAGTAGCTAGAACTACAGGCATGCGTTACCACACCCAGCTAATTTTTTTGATTTATTGTAGAGATGAGGTCTCGCCTGCCCAGGTGGGTCTCGAACCTGCGGGCTCAGACAATCCACTCACCTCAGCCTCCTAAAGGCGTGGATTACAGGCTGAGCCCAGCTGTAAATGGCAATTTTAGAACTTGAAATGAGGTCTCCTTACCAGACCAGTGTTTTGTTATAACATACTGCCTCTCTAAGTGAACAGTCTTCTCAAATACTATATTAATAGCAATGTTGTATACTCTCAAGTTTCAGACAATGGTAAAGAATAGTAAACTTTCTTTTTTTCTTTTTTTAAGTTGGGGTCTCACTCTATCACCCAGGCTGGAGTGTAGTGGCAAAATCACGTCTCACCACAGCCTTGACATCCTGGGCTTGGGCGATCCTTCTGCCTCAATATCCCAAATAGCTGGGACTACAAGGTGCACACCACCACACCACATGTGTCCTCTATACACATATAATTTTTTGTATAGAGGAGGTCTTGCTGTGTTGCCCAAGCTGGCCTCAAACTCCTGTGCTCAAGTGATCCTCCTACCTCTGCCTTCCAAAGTGCTGAGATTACATGCGTGAGCCACCCACCCAGCCAGCTTTCATTTTATATTACATTCAACTCGTATTATAACTGATTTCAGACTATTTCTCAAATATAAAGTTGAATGCATTTAAAATAGACTAATAAATGATAGTGACAGATGAGTCAGAAAGTTGTTCAGTTTTTTCTATCCTATTTTCCTGCTTAGAACTTTTGCTTACTTTTCATTAAATACTAGAGAGAGAGAAACTATTAGAGGAATATACATTTCAGCCTCTTGCTCTCTTTGTGATTCACAACTTTACTGGAGAAATAATTGTTTTCTTTTAAAGGGTTCTTTGATGTGCCACAGGCTACGTTAAAAAGGAACCTTAAAGAAGGAACATAAAAAAGTGTTAATGGAAGGGTTTGTTATTATCTATACTGGTTATTTTAAAGTAGCCATTTTTTCATGGAAAATACATAATCTAGATCATCTAGAATTGACTATAATGATTGATTTTAGAGTTCTAGCATGACATATGGGCCAGTATTCCATCATCCAGCACATCCTGTGGCAGACTTCTTGCCCACTTTCCTGTTTCCTGTTATTTTCCTCTTTCCTTTTTGTAGTCCATTTTCTAACTGGTTTTATCCTCTGTTTCCAACTGTTTTTCCACATTTTATGCTGACAGAGGCACCTGATATATATATCTTTATATCACTTTAGTACATGTCTTTTTCTCAGCACACATTCTAATTTCCTTGTTCCCTTATTATTGGATACGATACCCTTATGTGTTATTTTGATGTTCCAAAGTGTTAGTTTGGTGCTGGACATGGTGGCTAATGCTAATTCCAGTGCTCTGGGTGACTTAAAGAATTGTTTGAGGCCAGGAATTTGAGACCAGCCCGGGCAACATATCAAGACCTCATCTTTGCAAAAAGTGAACTTTAGCCGGGCTCGGTGGATCAGCCTGTAATCCTGCGCCTTTGGGAGGCTGAGGTAAGTGGATTGCCTGAGCCCGCAGGTTCGAGACCCACCTGGGCAGCGAGACCTCATCTCTACAATAAATCAAAAAATCAGCCGGGCGTGGTAGCGCGCGCCTGTAATTCCGGCTACTTGGAAGGTTGAGGCGGAAGGATCACTGCAGCCCAGGAGGTCGAGGCTGAGGTGGAAGGATCGCCAGAGCCCAGCAGATCAAGGCTGCGGTGGCCGGGAGCGGCCACTGCACTCCAGTCTGGGCAACAGAGTGAGACTCCAACTCAAAAAAAAAAAATGTGAACTTTAAAAATTAGCCAGGCATGGTGGCACATGCCTGTAGTCCTAGCTACTTGGGAAGCTGAGGCGGGACAATTACTTGGGCCTAGGAGCTCGAGCCACCTAGCCCAGCCTATGAAAATATTTTTATATAAAAAGATCAGGTTAAAGCCAGGCTCGGTGGCTCAGCCTGTAATCCTGCGCCTTTGGGAGTCTGAGGTGAGTGGATTGCCTGAGCCCACGGGTTCGAGACCTGCCTGGGCAGCAAGACCTCATCTCTACAATAAATCAAAAAATTAGCCAGGCGTGGTAGCACACACCTGTTGTTCCAGCTACTTGGAAGGCTGAGGCGGAAGGATCGCCAGAGCCCAGCAGGTTGAGGCTGTGGTGACCGGGAGCGGCCACTGCACTCCAGTCTGGGTGACAGAGTGTGACTCCAATTCAAAAAAAAAAAAAAGATCAGGTTAAGCCTGGCACGGTACCTCACACCTACAATCCCAGCACTTTAAGAGGCTAAGGTGAGAGGATTGCCTGAGCCCAGGGGTTCAAGACCAGCCTGGGCAACTTGGTGAGACCTCATCTCTATAATAAATTTTAAAAATTAGCTGGGTATGATGGCACATGCCTGTAGTTCTAGTTACTTGGAAGGCTAAGGTGAAAGGATCACCTGAACCCAGCAAGTCAAGGCTGCAGTGACTGTAAGCATGCCACTGCACTCCAGCCTGGGGGATAGAGTGACTCCAATTCAAAAAAAAAAAAATCAGGTTAAAATCTGTAAGCACACTATGTTATAACTGTTTAAATTATGCATAGGAAAAATGAGTAGAGAAAGTACACCAAATGATCATAATGGTTGCATCTAAGATGTTGGATTTTTCATAATTTTTTTCCTCCTTATACTTTTTCTTATCTTATAAATGTTTAATGAATAAATACTGGAACTTTTCAGTCATCAAAAAATTACAAGTCATTTAAAAATATATTTTAAAATCTTGCTTTCTCAGCATGCCAGTGTGAAGGAAAAGATAACCGAATTCCTTTACTGAAGGAAGTTTTTGAGGCCTTTCCTAACACGCCCATTAACATCGATATCAAAGTCAACAACAATGTGCTGATTAAGAAGGTACTGGAAGCATTGCCTCCTCTGGGTGTGTTGCATCTGATTACACAAACTAAATAAGGTTAGAGTAGGTGACTGTGTAGATTGATAGTGGTCAAGGAAATGTGATACTCTAGGGATCAACATTGTTTTAAATAATGCCCGGGTGGAAGGGATCACTTTACTGTAGAGAGCCTATTTTCAGAGTTGGCATGTCTCAGTCACAGATAATCCTGTGAACCAGTCTTCCTCACATTATATAATTAACTTGTAGTTTAACTGTTTTCATTTGTGGTTAGTTTATATCAAATTACTACATAGTTATATTCTTTTAAATAAATTACACAGTGGCAAAATGTAAATAATTTTATTTACATTTATTGGTTCTTTTAAAATCTTACACTATCCATTGGCAGCTAGTCAACTGTAATTCATTTTTCAAGCGAAATGTTGTTAGTGGATTTGCAAATAGGCACATGCATAAAATTTTGAATTTTCACACATAGGTTTCAGAGTTGGTGAAGCAATATAAACGAGAACACATAACAGTGTGGGGCAATGCCAGTTATGAAATTGTAGAAAAGTGCTACAAAGAGGTAAGCTTCAAAAATGATGCAGAATTATTTGTCTTTATTGTTCTTGGATATCCATAAATTATTAGTTATTATAGCAATAATGTTTAAAAATTATCTTACTTCATAGCTTCATACAAAGACAGATGGTACTGAGTAGAAGCAGCTAACCAGAAATTTACTAATTTAGTGGCGATAATGAATTTGTACCTTGCACTTTAAGTTCAGTGTAATTGAACTGGTTTGCAGAATTGTTATTTTCATATGCTAATAGTAATTGTTTATCAAGATTTTATTATGTGCATTATAGGATAAAATATGATTCCTGTCTTTTTTTTATTCCTGTCTTTTAATGACTGTCTTTTGTTAGATAATTAAAGTTTTTGTGTAATTTTGAATTAAAGAAGGTATTTAGTCCTTAAACTCTGTAGCTTTAGCTACTTTTTATGCTGCCCCCCCAATAGACTTAATCAAATTAAGCCAAGATTGTCAGGTAGTATATAAAAGCAGGACCAAGCCGGGCTTGTTGGCTCAGACTGTAATCCTGCGCCTTTGGGAGGCTGAAGTGAGTGGATTGCCTGAGCCCGCGGGTCTGAGACCTGCCTGGGCAGGCAAGACCTCATCTCTACAATCAATCAAAAAATTAGCCGGGCGTGGTAGCGCGCGCCTGTAATTCCGGCTACTCAGAAGGCTGAGGCGGAAGGATCACCAGAGCCCAGCAGGTCAAGGCTGCAGTGGCCGGGAGTGGCCACTGCACTCCAGTCTGGGCGACAGAGTGAGACTCCAACTCAAAAAAAAAAAAAAAAGCAGGACCATCTACCCACTGAAAATTTGCTGGTTAAAGAAAATATGTCTACAAAGTTAATTTAATACATTTTAAAATGCTATGCTAAACTTTTATAAGAAAGTCTAGATATAGTCAGCTAAGATAATTTGAAATTTAAGATGTTAAAAAATCTTGAACATTGAAGACTTTTTAGAATACAAGTGATACTGCAGAAAAAATATCGTGATATAAGTAGCAATTCTCAAATACAAAGAACTTATTGGGAAGGCCTTCCCTCCTCGCAAAGAAGGCAAAAACATGCACAGCCAGCATCATTATAATTCAGAGTACACTTGAGACCCTTATTAAGGCAAGTAAACTTTATGTACAGTGGGGTCTGAGGGATCTCAAGGTAGCTTGGGTACAAAAGGAGAGAACAAAGCAATCACTGGGCTAAGTGGCTTTAGATCCCTATAGACTTGGAACTTAGACTTTTCCATAACTTGTCATTGTCTGATGCTATTTTCAGATGTTATTATAGGGTAGATAATATACTGGAAGCCTCATGACTTGCTGAGGCTGTCTGTCACCCAAACTGGAGTGCAGTGGCTGCTTCCGGCCACCGCAGCCTCGACCTGCTGGGCTCCGGCGATCCTTCCGCCTCAGCCTTCCGAGTAGCTAGAATTACAGGCATGCGCTACTACGCCCGGCTGATTTATTAATTTATTGTAGAGATGAGGTCTCGCTGCCCAGGCAGGTCTCGAACCCACGGGCTCAGGCAATCCACTCACCTCAGCCTCCCAAAGGCGTGGGATTACAGACTTGCTGATTTTTTTATGTCATCAAAAAAATTTTCAAAAGAAAAATAGTGATAATATCAAATGCTGGAAAGAAAGCATAGGACCTGGCTCTCTTGGCCGAGCGCACTGTCTTACACCTGTAATCTCAAACCTTTGGGAGACGGAGGCAAGAGGATTGCCTGAGCCCCCATGGGTTGGGGACTAGCCTGGGCAGCTTAGTGAGACCTCATCCGTACAATTAAAAAAAAAATTAGCGAGGTGTAGTGGCACACGCCTGTGATCCAGCTACTTGGAAGGTTGAGGTGGACAAATCACCTGAGCCCAGCAGGTTGAGGCTACAGTAGCCAAGATCATGTCACTGTACTCCAGCATGGGCTACAGAGTGAGACTCCAACTCAAAAAAAAAAAGAAGAAAAGAAGAAACTGGATCTCTCAAAGATTGCTGGTGGCACTATAAAATAGTACAGCTACTCTCTTAAATAGGTAGTTTCTTATAAAACTAAACCATATGAACCAGCAATCTCATCGTGGGCAATTATCCCAGAAAAAAATGGAAACACGTACACAAAAACTTTTACAAGAATGTATATAGCAACTTTATTTGTAAAAACAAAATCCTGGAAACAACTCGGTTATCCTTCAACAGGTAAATGGCTGAACAAACTCTTGTACTGCCATATGATGGTATATTGCTTCAGCAATAAAAAAGAATGAACTATGAATGCAAGCATCAAGTTGATGGTCCTCAGAGACCATGCTTAGTGAAAACAACTACTTCAAATAGTTCACTACTTAATGATTCCATATATATAACAGCAATACTGTTGACGTGGAGAGCGGATTAGTGGCTGCCAGAAGACAGGGCATGAGGGTGGGGTGAAGAGTGGGTAAAGTTCAAAGAGATAGCATGTAGGCGATCTTGTGTGGTGATGACGTATCTTGCCTATGGTAGTAGCTACATTAATCTATACATGCAGGCTGGACGCAGTGGCTCACGCCTATAATCCCAACACTTTCGGAGGCCGAGGTGAGAGGATTGCCTGAGCCCAGCAGGTCAATGCTGGGGTGGCCGTGAGCATGCCACTGCACTCTACCTGGGTGATGGAGTGAACTCCAACTCAAAAAAAGCAAAACAAAACAAAACAAAAAATCTATACATGGGTTAAAATTGCATAGACTGACACACACACAAACATGCATATAAATAAATGCAGTTTAAAGTTATGAAAACTGGACAATGTCTGTGGTCTAGTTAACTAATGTCAATTCCTGATTTGGATACTATGCCATAAATACATCAGGTGTCATTTTTTGGGGAAGTTGGGTGAAGGGTGCATGGGACTGTACTATTTTTGCAACTTCCTATGAGTCTATAATTATTTCAAAATAAAAAGCTCACTTTTGACCCACAATCACAGATCTTTTCCCTTAGTCTCATATTTTTCCAGAAGCCTCTTGCCTTCTGTCATTTTAGAATTTAAAAATTCCAAAAACCAGTCAGGCTCCTGTAATCCCATGCCTTTGGGAGGCTGAGGTGAGTGGATTGCCTGAGCCCATAGGTTCGAGACCCGCCTGGGCCACTTGACGAGACCTCATCTCTACAATAAATCAAAAAATCAGCTGGGTGTGGTAGTGCGTGGCTGTAGTTCCAGCTACTTGGAAGGCTGAGGCGGAAGGATCGCTGGAGCCCAGCAGGTAGAGGCTGCGGTGGCCAGGAGCGGCCACTGCACTCCAGTCTGGACGACAGAGTGAGACTCCAACTCAAAAAAAAAAAAAAAAAAATTCCAAAAACCTATCAGCTGCAGTTTTCAAACATTTCAGTAAAAATGTCTCAGTAAAATTAGTCATTCATATAACCAAAGTGCTGTATAATTAAGTGATACATTTTTTGTAATTCCTAAAGTATGATTTATAAGAATTTACATTAGCCCTTTTATTCCCAGATGGTAGAACTCAAAATATGTAAATAAAAAGAATTGAGCCACACAGTAGTGATGAAAGACATGTGGCACTTATCCTCACTTAATGACTTTTTATTCATTCACGCTTACTGCAGTAATTTTTAAACTTGGCAGGATGTTGGAATTTCCTGAACAGTTTAAAAACATACAAATGCCTGAGTCCCATCCCAGAATTCTAATTTAAAAGACATGGGGTACAGCCAGTTGTTAAACATTTGCCAGCGCACCACTCTCCCTCTGTGTCCACCAGCAAACTTGCATGGCTTTCTGAAAGTACCAGTTATTGTTTTTAGTATTCTGGTTTTAAAATTGCATATGTCTGAGGATCAGCCCCTAACCCTATTTTTCTTTTTTGAGTTGGAGTCTCACTCTGTCGCCCAGACTGGAGTGCAGTGGCCGCTCCCAGCCACCACAGCCTCGACCTGCTGGGCTCCAGCGATCCTTCCGCCTCAGCCTTCCAAGTAGCCGGAATTACAGGCATGCGCTACCATGCCTGGCTGATTTTTTGATTTATTA